TTTTATATTATATATAAAAATATTAGTTTTCTTTGGTTGCCTCTCTATAACAACAACTCTATGTAACAACACTTTTTTCTGGTCCCGACGATGTCGTTATAGAGAAGCTGCACTGTATATGTGAGGCAGCGTGGTGGAATCAGGCTCTCGCCAAAATAATGAAATCGAAGAAAACAGCAGTTTCTCCCTGCTTAACAATTTTAATCAAATTTTTGGGTTTTTTGGGCTCAACGCCTTTTATGTCCATTTACAAACACATTCCTTTGAGGATTTCATCGAAACCGTTGATTAAAGGCTCAAAAATATAAATTTACAGTTTTCATGGACTCTCCAGCTTTGGAATTTGCCAAGTTTCAGCGGCCATTTTCTCGCTAATTTTACCTCTTAAATCAGGCGACCATCACCTCCTTCAATCCAAAATATCTCCACTGCTGTTGAAGATGGTTGGGTAATTTTTTCCTAGAAAGCAAGACTAATGAGATGATACCAATAACTCAATATGCCCAAAAATTGACGAGAGCCTGATTCCACCAGGCTGCCTCACGTATATCTCAACACTACCTGGAAAACTCTTACTTACTAAAACGTGAGTAAAACTTACATCTGTACTAAACTCCGCTGTGTGTGTGGGTGGTTGGCGGGTGCTCTGGTGTGGTATGCTCCTTCTTTCTTTCCTAGCTGTCAAACATCTTTCCTCCTTCTTTTTTATGTTTGTTACTCACTCTCTTGTAACACCTCTAATCTTCGGCACTTATATTAGCTTATTGTGTTGCAAGTGCCGTAAAGCTCTTACTAAGACTAAACTAAACCCCCCGGAGCAGTGCCACTGACTGAAGTGTCTTAAGGCCATTCCCAAAGGGGGGGGGGGGAACATTTCTCGTTCAAGCACAGTAGAATTGTAAATGCGCTGACTCATGTGACGCTCATAACTGTGCCTGATCTACAACAGGGAACTGCTGCTTTTTCTTTCCTGATCCTTACTTTTGTCATTTTCCTCTACTTCTTTTGTATGTTTGTCACTCTTTTGTGACCCGCTATTTCCGGGGTGCCTTGATAGTCGAAGCAGACCTTGTGCTGTTGAAGTTAGAGAGGAGAGCAGTCCAAGTCTGATTCCCTGTAAAGACTTCTCTATTGACACCCACCCCTTGGCGCTCATATGACCTTATGCAGTTGCGAGCGCCGTAAAACCCTCTACTGTATTAAAACAAATTTTAAAAAAAATAAAACGTGAGTAAAACTTACATCTGTACTAAACTACTCTGTGTGTGTGTGTTCCTTTCCCTCAGGACTTTGACATTGACCCTGAGGAGTCCGGCGACCAGGTGGACGAACTTCTGGCGGCCTGCGTGAGACAAGCCACGGCCCCGCCCTCCTGAGACTCGTTGCTGCCCCCTCCGCGCCCACCCCCCACCCCCCACCCCCTACGATAACCTCCATACGTCTTATTATGTTTTTACACTCAAGCATTCACGCGCACGCTACGAACACACACACACACACACACACACACACACACTCTCTCTGTCTCTGTCTCTCTTTCTCTTTCTCTCTCTCTCTCTATCTCTCTCTATCTATCTGTCTTTCCCTCTCTCTTTCTCTCTCTCTGTCTCTCTCTCTGTCTCTCTCTCTATATATATATCTATCTCTCTCACACTCTCACACACGCACCCCCCCCCAACACACTCTGACACACCCCCCCCGCCCCCCCTCAAAAAGAATGCGGACAGAACAGAAGGAAAGATAACGTAGAAAACAGCGGGGCGGAACGAGGGGGAGATACCGGGGTCAGCGAGGACAGATGAAAGTGGGTTGATGAGGTAGACAGCTTTTCCCTAGAACGGGGACGGGCAGGTAGGTACGAGGGGGAAAGTGCATAAGGGACGGAGCCAATAAGCAGGTCTAGCGCCAGCTCCCAGAAACGGGGAGACGGTTTATCGGGTGGTTGGAGTTGGTGGTAGTAGAAACCTAGGAGCATATGACGCGAGGACGACGATGAGGCTTGCCGAGGAAGTGTCGAGAAGTGACGGAGACGAGACAGTGAAACCAGCGGTTAGAGCTTGCACAAC